ATATAAGCCATCTGACCGAAATCGATAAAATTTGATATTCATATAGTTCGAAGCACAATGAAGGTCACTGTCGACATTAGAACATTTTATGACGAACCGTTTTAGCGGGATGAGCGAGAAACGAAATGGAATTTTCTGATTGGTTAAAAATTAGCCATTGTTTTAAATGAGGATGATTCAACATAACTTTTCATTTATTTTAAAGATAGCACCAGTGACATTTGCTAGCTTATCTCTCTATTTGATAAAAAAAAAAAGAGTTTATTGCAATAAACAACATTACGTGGTTGTGGTAGCACGTGTTGTCTACGTCACCAGATTTATACTTTTAAAGTTATCTGATACCAAACGTTTTCTTATTTATGTTAATTCTTTTAAAACGTGTTTCTAAATTATAATTGTTTCAAATCAACGGTAATTGAATAGAAAATTAATGAGAAAGTGGTACTAATTTGTTTAGGAGAAACGTATAAAATCGCTTTATTGTTAATGATGCCAATGATGCCTTATTAATTTAAGACAAGTTATGTATGCTTATTAAAATAAAAGTGTGGCGACCGCCACCTATCGTTAAATACTTACACTGCGCTGAAACCATTTACCAGTTGTCGCGTGCAATCTATCTAGCCACGCGCTTGTATTTTGATAAAGAAAAACAATTATCGTTCTTTTTCTTGCCATATTTTTACAGCTCTGTTATATTTAATAATAAAACTTGTTAAGTTTGTTTGTTATGTGAATTCGTGTTTATTGATAAGTTAATTCACCTTCTGATCCATACTTACTACTTACTACACGAATTTACAAAAGAAATAAGCTCTGTACTAGGAAGCAAAGGTAATGCTGTGAAGATATTTATTCGTCTAGAACAGTGGTTCCCGAAGTGATCTATATCGAACCCCAGGGGCCGACGACAACCTGCAAGGGGTCCATGTCAAGTGAAAAAAAAATTGGGGGTTCATGAACTGAAAATGGGGGTCAACCATAGTGGATTTCATCTAAGCAGGTCATGACTTTAATTTTGGCATTTCATGAATGGAATAATCAACATACACTGATAGTACCTATTTACTTACACTATAGATACTAAATTTTACTAAACTATAGTTACTAAATTTTACTATAACCTTATAGATACTAAATATATTAATACTAAATGACTAAATTACTAAATACTAAATTACTAAATACTAAATTACTAAATACTAAATTACTAAATACCAAATTACTAAATACTAAATTACTAAATACTAAATTACTAAATACTAATTACTAAACACTAAATTACTAAATACTAAATTACTAAATACTGAATTACTAAATTAATTACTTAAATAACATTATAGATACTAAAGAGATACTAAATTTTAATTTGGCTTAAATTTTAATTTAATTAATAAATGCATTAAATTAACATGTGCTTTTTTCTTAAGAAGTTTTTCACACTACACTTCACTTCACTATAGTTAGAAATTTAAATCTTTCACAGTTAGTAGCTGTCAAAAATACCAGCTGTCAAAAATACATTTGAACTTGATGAATTTACAAAAAATCAATATCAGGTAATTAAAAGAAAAGAAATAAGCTATGTACTAGGAAGCCCAAACCGAAAAACATGGCAAGGAGTCTACGAGACAAAAAAGTTCAGGAACCACTGGTCTAGAAAAACAGTAGGAAATCGTCATACTATTATGGACGATAATGATGATAAACTAATGTTTGTAATATGTATTAATTGCAATAAAAATATAGCCTATATACTAAAAAGCAAAGTTAATAGAGAAAAGATGAATGAGAATTTCGTATAGAAAAACCGTAAAAAATAGCTATTCACAGATGACGCTTAATTAATTTTCACTACTGACGGTGATATGTACTACTGGTATTATGGTAATTAGTGAAGTTTTAATAATGATTCTACAACGAGTCTTCAGCTGTTTCAGAAAATATTATGCTAAGATAGTGCATTAACATTTTAATGAATCAGAATTAAAAGAACTTTTTTCCATTACTTCGCTGACCGGCCTGTGTAGGGGGCAGGGAACTGTCTTTGCATCAGAAAGGTTCTGGATTCGAATCCCGGGCAAGGCATGGATGTTCTTTCCTTCTCTGTACTATCTGACCTCACAGTGGGAGCGACGTTGGCCCACCTAATATGGTGCCCTTGAAAGAGAGGCCAACAAAATCGCCCTGTAATCGCCCTGTATATGCCTGAATTGACGAATGCTTACACAGGTGGGCATTGGAAAAAGAAAAAAAAATTCCATTACTTCTAGTATATATTTTAACAGTAAATTAAAGGTCAGATAGAGAAATGGATATGCTCTAAACTCCTTATCACATTCTAATAAGAATTCTATTTTTATTTTATTTATTTATTATTATTTTTTTTAAATTCGGCTTCAGTTGGCTGCACACAGCAAATGCATTACGCACAGTACTCAAATGTTGAAGGGTAATGTAGTACCAAATATAATAATAACGGTATAAAATACTGTATTGGTATATTTGATGATTATTTAAACTGCACCAATACTAAGCAGTTTTAATACTGATACTTTGGAAATAAGTCTTTTTCGGCCCCTCGAAAGGGAAAGGAGAAAATTACTAGATAGTGGTAAATTTTGCCTATCATGAGTTAGCCGCAAGCAATAGCAGTATGCCAAGGGATACTAAATGCATTTTATCTTTATTCTGATAGGATATAACGAGTTTTGCTTACTTTAGCGTAAAGCCAAAGAAAAGGGTAATAAATAATATTAAATAAAATAAAATTGAAATTATTTTAGCTATGTCAATTGAAGAACTTAGTGAAACAATCAGGTAAGTGACATTTTTTCAAAACGAAAAATAGAACAACGCACGTTTCCAAACTATTTTATTACCAATTTGTTAGAAGGCGGGACTAATAATTCTTTGCCTTATTTTATTTACTACTGCCTAATTTGAAATAAGATCATCTAAGCATACAAACTAATGTGGATTAGTTACGTTAAGATTAAAGTGAAGACAATAACATTTATGTTGCATTAAACATATTCATATTGATGCAGCACTTTACGTTAGTTTCTCTGATTCATTAATTCCCCTAAAAATGTCTCTTGGTTCTTCTACAAAGCTTTTTATTTGTGCCGGTATATTTCTTCAGTTTTGAGGATGATTTCTTAGTACTGATTTATTGATTCTTTACTTTTTTTTAAATCACCCCGTGTGAAAAACGGGTATTCAGCTAGTACTTGCTAAATTTTTTGGAGCTAAAGTAAGAAATATTTATTAAATTCAAAACTCGCGAGAATTTAAGTTTTAAAATGTTTTTCCCAAAGGTTTAATATCATAATTAAGTAACAAAATGATTGTTTTGTGTAAGTTACATGTGAAACTTTCCCTTGACCTTGGCACGCTTCCAGCGGACCTTGTTCATCAAGGTTCGCTGGTCAAGCCTTTCGTTTTACAAATAAAGAGGATATACTTTAACGTTATCGATATTAATTATGCAAACATATTTAAAAATTCAGTGATGAAGTTGATTGTTTTTTTTTATAGTAGTTGTTGCCTAAATATATGAGAATTTAATTATCTGCAATCATTGTTTTCATACCGCTTTTGAGTTTTTGGATAATCACTTTGGATAATCCCAGTTTTTAATAAATTACAAAAAAAAATCTTATTATGTTATTTAACCAATATTATACAACAAGTTTGCTCAATTGTCTCAA